ACAAGAATCTGACGCTATAGGAAACAAGAATCTGACGCTGTTGGATACGAGAATCTGACGCTGTAAGATACGAGAATCTGACGCGGTAGCATACGAGAATCTGACGCCGTAGAAAACAGGAATATGACGCTGTAGGAAACAAGAATCTGACGCTGTAGGATACTAGACTCTGACGCTGTAGGACTCAAAAAAATGACACTGTAGGATTCCTTCGCGCATACAGAATTCCTAACTTGATCTAACTATTTTGCGACAAGAGAGGAGTTGTTTAGAGGTTAGTTTCCTATTTTTTTTTTTTTTTTTTCTTTTGCGGCATCAAAATTTATCTTTGAATAATGTTTTAATATAATTAGGTCACGGACTCAATCGACAAATAAGGAGCTGTCAATTTACAACAGTGATATTTTTATTCGTGCATCAAAACAAATATAAAATTATATTATTTTTCTTTCCTGTTGGTATGTTGTAGTGTAGTAGTATCATTACATGTAATTCCGGATATAATAGATCCGATTCCAGCTCTTAGTCAATCCCAAGATCCATTTTGACTTCTCGACCATTACCCTGTACTTACATGCAGAGTATTGAGATGGTCCGAATAAACGAAAAGCAGTCCATGCTTGTTAACGCCATTTGTACGAGTTGTGTCGTCTGTCTGTAGGCTAATTAAGAACCTAGGCTGAGATGTTACATATGTACTAATTTTTTATTTCATAGATACTTATAACAAAATGCATGTAACCTTTCATTTATTCTACAAGACTTGGCCTGGCTATATTCAATGTTTCATGTTACTCCTCTAGATGATTGAACAGCAAATACTTTAAAACAGTCCGTTGTTGTAGATGGACATCTCTACATAGGCTACCACAACAGCATGAAAAACTAAGGAAACGAAAAATGGACAGTTATCAGGCCTATGTAGTCAGTGATCGCCCCTTCTTTTAATTAAGATATTTTCTAATAGTGATATTTGGTTACTTTTAAACTTGTAAACTCTTAATGGTTCTTTATAGAACTATATCATGAAATTAAACCCATCAGTCTAATGTTGTTTCTTTAATGAAATGGTACATAGTCCGTTTGATAAGAAAACGTCATGATTTTGGAATTTGCGAATTTTTTGTAGTTGCATCATTGATGACGTCATGTCCGAAATGCTGTTCCTTTCATTGATGGATGACCTGTACACGTATTCTAATGTTTCATTACACTTTAAATCTCTAAACATATATTTTATTTATCTATTTATTATTCTTTTTTTTTTTTTTTTTTTTGTGAATTTTGAATAATTGCGTTTTATACTGTTTTCTTTTTTTACAAGACAAGTCAATCAAAAGTTGATAGGAATAAACCAATCCCATGATATGAGACACCGAGATTATGTAGAATTTCCCACAACACAGCCGTCTTATTATGAAAGAAATTTGTCTGTATGTATATCATGTCAACCCTCTACTGCTGATGTGTCGCTGTCGGTATACCGACCTCGTTGATGAGGTCGTAAGTCGACAATTCATTTTCTGGTAGCCGCAGGGCAATGACTTTTATCAAGTACACATACATATGTATATTCACCGATATATTCACACGTTTCTGGTTTTTCTTATCTGTACATCGCATTTTTCCTCAGGATTTTCCAGTGGGAGTGGAATGGAAAAGAAATCCTAAATGTATGTAAGCTTCCCTAAGCTTGTACGAAAGACACACAAGTGAAAAACACGTTTTAATACAGATTTATAAATAGATACTATCATTAGATTAATTTATGAATCAAACTGCATCACGCAGCTGTTTCGTCCTTCTAGGACTCGTCAGTGATGTTACATAATACGGCTGTTTCGTCCTTCTAGGACTCGTCCGTGATGTTACATCATACAGCTGCTTCGTCATTCTATGACTCGTCAGTGATGCTATATCTTACAGCTGTTTCGTCCTTCAAGGACTCGTCAGTGATTCTACATCATACAGCCGTTTCGTCCTTCTAGGACTCGTCAGTGATGTTACATCATACAGCTGTTTCGTCATTCTATGACTCGTTAGTGATGTTACATCATACAGCTGCTTCGTCATTCTATGACTCGTCCGTGATGTTACATCATACAGCTGTTTCGTCCTTCAAGGACTCGTCAGTGATTCTACATCATACAGCCGTTTCGTCCTTCTAGGACTCGTCAGTGATGTTACATCATACAGCTGTTTCGTCATTCTATGACTCGTTAGTGATGTTACATCATACAGCTGCTTCGTCATTCTATGACTCGTCAGTGATGTTACATCATACAGCTGTTTCGTCCTTCAAGGACTCGTCAGTGATTCTACATCATACAGCCGTTTCGTCCTTCTAGGACTCGTCAGTGATGTTACATAATACGGCTGTTTCGTCCTTCTAGGACTCGTCCGTGATGTTACATCATACAGCTGCTTCGTCATTCTATGACTCGTCAGTGATGCTATATCTTACAGCTGTTTCGTCCTTCAAGGACTCGTCAGTGATTCTACATCATACAGCCGTTTCGTCCTTCTAGGACTCGTCAGTGATGTTACATCATACAGCTGTTTCGTCATTCTATGACTCGTTAGTGATGTTACATCATACAGCTGCTTCGTCATTCTATGACTCGTCAGTGATGTTACATCATACAGCTGTTTCGTCCTTCAAGGACTCGTCAGTGATTCTACATCATACAGCCGTTTCGTCCTTCTAGGACTCGTCAGTGATGTTACATCATACAGCTGTTTCGTCATTCTATGACTCGTTAGTGATGTTACATCATACAGCTGCTTCGTCATTCTATGACTCGTCAGTGATGTTACATCATACAGCTGTTTCGTCCTTCAAGGACTCGTCAGTGATTCTACATCATACAGCCGTTTCGTCCTTCTAGGACTCGTCAGTGATGTTACATCATACAGCTGTTTCGTCCTTCTAGGACTCGTTAGTGATGTTACATCATACAGCTGTCTCGTCCTTCTAGGACTCGTCAGTGATGCTACATCATACAGCTGTTTCGTCCTTCAAGGACTCGTCAGTGATTCTACATCATACAGCCGTTTCGTCCTTCTATGACTCGTCAGTGATGTTACATCATACAGCTGTTTCGTCCTTCTAGGACTCGTTAGTGACGTTACATCATACAGCTGTCTCGTCCTTCTAGGACTCGTCAGTGATGCTACATCATACAGCTGTTTCATCCTTCTAGGACTCGTTAGTGATGTTACATCATACAGCTGCTACGTCCTTCTATGGCTCGTCAATGATGCTACATCATACAGCTGTTTCGTCCTTCTAGGACTTGTCAGTGATTCTACATCATACAGCCGTTTGTCCTTCTAGGACTCGGCAGTGATGTTACATCATACAGCCGTTTCGTCCTTCTAGGACTCGTTAGTGATGATACATCATACAGCTATTTCGTCCTTCTGGGACTCGTCAGTGATTCTAAGGGCCTAATATTGGAACATATGGTTCCAATAAGCAATGAGGAACGAAATTTATTCGAAAGCAATGTTAAGATCTAATTGAAGCGGTTCAGTAGCCCCATTACTCGATAACGGTAATTTTAATAGCTCTAATCATTTAAAAATAACTTCAAGTACATGTAAAAAGTCTAGATCGCATTGTTGTCAGTATGTATGGAATCTGGATGGCCAAAGTATCAAAAGGTTTATTTGACAAAGTTATCAAAAATAATGCTCTCTATTTTTTCGTGCTGAAACTTATTAAAAGTCACAATTATCGTAATGATTTACGTAGAAATGTGATGTGTGCTATCTGAGGTGACGTCATCATGACTCCAAAATGACGTCATATTATAGTCTTGTGTTAATCTAGAATGTATCTACAATCCTATGAATATAACTTACACCACTGTACAAACAAAACAGATGTCAGGACCAAAGATATCTAGATAGAACCGACAAAACAGATGTCAGGACCAAAGATATCTAGATAGAACCGACAAAACAGATGTCAGGACCAAAGATATCTAGATAGAACTACAAAACAGATGTCAGGACCAAAGATATCTAGATAGAACTACAAAACAGATGTCAGGACCAAAGATATCTAGATAGAACTACAAAACAGATGTCAGGACCAAAGATATCTAGATAGAACCGACAAAACAGATGTCAGGACCGAAGATATCTAGATAGAACTACAAAACAGATGTCAGGACCGAAGATATCTAGATAGAACCAACAAAACAGATGTCAGGACCAAAGATATCTAGATAGAACCGACAAAACAGATGTCAGGACCGAAGATATCTAGACAGAACCAACAAAACAGATGTCAGGACCGAAGATATCTAGATAGAACTACAAAACAGATGTCAGGACCGAAGATATCTAGACAGAACCAACAAAACAGATGTCAGGACCAAAGATATCTAGATAGAACCGACAAAACAGATGTCAGGACCGAAGATATCTAGATAGAACCGACAAAACAGATGTCAGGACCGAAGATATCTAGATAGAACCAACAAAACAGATGTCAGGACCGAAGATATCCAGATAGAACTACAAAACAGATGTCAGGACCGAAGATATCTAGATAGAACCAACAAAACAGATGTCAGGACCAAAGATATCTAGATAGAACTACAAAACAGATGTCAGGACCGAAGTAATGATGCTGATGTTGTTATAATACTGTGTACTAATACTGTGATATTACACTGTGGTATAATATTATGTTTCGGTACTATGTTATGATATATGTTATAATACGTCTTATAACACTGTGTGACGATAATGTGTTACTTTGTTCCCCTGGTTCATATAATATATCTGATTAATACTACTCTCATCGTTATGACTAATTCTAATCATACTGAAAACCCGATTTCTTGTAAAAATAAACATTTCTCTGAATGGGTTTTACGCCTACGGAAAACAATGATTGAACGTGACGCTACATCCGGCGGGAATCCTTCCTCGCTGTACATATATTAACGTGCCTTGCCGGCTGGCCCGTAAAACTCACACACGTGTCTGAAGCATAAGAAGGCAGACATCACTGTCAACTGTAACATCATGGGGTCGTCACTGACAGAAAACACGTAAGTCTACTCACGAAATGTCTTTGATCATTTGTGTTGATCGAGAGTGTTATATAATATATATCTTATTTTAAAAATAACTCATTGGTTTAATGATAGCCAGGGGAAAGGCATTTTCTACAGATAAACTAGAAACAAAATACCCGGGAGGAATTTTAAATGATTAAACATAAATCTGTGAACAACTTGACAGTCGGACATGTCTGGTGGACAAAAAAGAAAAATATTGACAAGTCTAAAGAATCTAAATTAATGTTCAAAATATTAAAAACACGTAAAGTATTAATGAGAAAAAATGTGAAAGACACGTGAAGACTTAATGAGGTAAAATGTTAGCCACGTAAAGTGTTAATCGGGCAAAATGTTAGACACGGGCAAAATGTTAGACACGTAAAGTGTTAATCGGGCAAAATGTTAGACACGTAAAGTGTTAATGGGGCAAAATGTTAGACACGTAAAGTGTTAATGAGGCAAAATGTTAGACACGTAAAGTGTTAATGGGGCAAAATGTTAGACACGTAAAGTGTTAATGTGGCAAAATGTTAGACACGTAAAGTGTTAATGGGGCAAAATGTTAGACACGTAAAGTGTTAATGGGGCAAAATGTTAGACACGTAAAGTGTTAATGGGGCAAAATGTTAGACACGTAAAGTGTTAATTAGGCAAACATTGGAATAGCGTGAAATTTCCTTTCCGGTCTGGTATTCCCACGAAAAACTTCAATCCGGCAGTTTACTTGTACTCACAAATATCAAACACAGTGGTATTTCATATGATGTTAACACCGCTTTAAAACCACATTTTTCGTGAAAATGTTTTTTTAGATGTATGAATTATAGGGCTAGTACATCTTCTGTTGTCCTCAGTCGCCTACCAGGTTTAACATTTAGATCCTTAGGCACCGAGTTATAACAGGACGAATCGATGTTAACATCACTAACGTTTCCTAGAAGGACGAAACAGATGTATGACGTAGCATCACTGACGAGTCCTTGAAGGACGAAACATCTGAATGATGTAAACTTCACTAACGAGAAGGACGAAACAGCTGTATGATGTAGCATCACTGACGAGTCCTTGAAGGACGAAACAGATGTATGATGAAGTATTACTGACGAGTCCTTGAAGGACGAAACAGCTGAATGATGTAAACTTCACTAACGAGTCCTAGAAGGACGAAACAGCTGTATGATGTAGCATCACTGACGAGTTCTAGAAGGACGAAACAGCTGTATGATGAAGTATTACTGACGAGTCCTTGAAGGACGAAACAGCTGAATGATGTAAACTTCACTAACGAGTCCTAGAAGGACGAAACAGCTGTATGACGTAGCATCACTAACGAGTCCTTGGAGGACGAATTATCTGAATGTAGAGTTTCAAAACCAGAGATGTTACTATATTTGGGAGTTTGTCTGCAAGAGGATGTTAATGTGAACCCTTTTCATAATTTTCGGGATATTGAATAGAATGAAATGGATTGTAACAAACATTGTTTACATTTTTTTTTCCAGTGCCAACATTATTCACTTGTTCTTAATTTAACTTTAGGCCACAAAAACGCCCTTGAATATTACTTCTTTGTGTGACGTCGCTAAAAATGACTCCTTACCTTGGAGAGTGAAAACATACATAAAGTATTTATGAAATTTCAACATAATTTTATCAAATATGTTATTGACGAGAAGGCCACTTTTATTCAGCAGTGATTTCATTCAAGGCATGTCACCCACTTTCAAGTACACTGAGCCCAGATGTACTAAAGTGTTTGACGATGACGAAGTAAACGACTTCATATTTTCCGGAAATCACTTAGGGGATTTACAACGGAAATGTGTGCGACAGATTCGCTATTTAGTCTACACAAACATTTACAAGTCATCTTCCTGCGTCCTTCAGCTTACATACTAGACACAAATGTCCCCCACGTTTCAAATACAGCTTTGGAGCTCATTACATGTAACATGGGGTCAAACAAATTGTTAGTAAGAAGGAAAAAGGAAATAGGATCCCAAATATGGTGGTGGTGGGGGGTGGGGGGATAGCATACAGATAGCATACGCCCTTCTTGTGGGTTGTTAGGTGCAAGGGGCTTAACTTTGTTTAACAAATTAATGGTGAGGCCCAATTTTGGCATATAAAATTAATTCTTAAAATACTTTAGTTCGGAAAAAGAGATTTTGTAAAATCTATCTAGATGTTCCATGTGTAAAGGGGACATTTATTTTGTATAAGGGGAGTCTGTGCCTCTTTGTGACAGAAAAGTTGTGAAATACAGTCATGAAAAAACTTTCCGATAAAATTTGGTCTGGACTACCCTTTGGTAAAGTTGATTTATTTTTGGTATAAGCACATCTCACAATCCATTTCCATGCCTTGTGGACAGAAGATTAAGTAAAGGCCATTCTTAAAATCGATTGAAAAGACATAATGAATTTATATAGCATCCTTGCATGAAGGAGCACAAATTTGTATAAACAGATGGTTCAGGAGTAGAGGCGCCTATGACCTTATACTGAAAATAGGTATTGTATATGAATGTATTTGAGTTTGTTCTTCCAGAAGTTATAGATGTTCGGACTGATTTGGTTGGAATTGTTTAACGGTCTCCTTATGTATGAGTGAGTTCGATAAGTCTGTGTACGCCTGCATACGATAGTGTGACACTAAAGCCGTCTTTATAGTGTTATCACACTGAAGTGTACTACCGAAGACCCCCAGTAGAACACCCCAACCCCAACCGGTTTCATTGCGGCATTTCGGTAAATTATTTCAAATAAAGATGATTTTGTTGTGCTTACTGAAATATGCAGGCTCTTTCAAATGATCATTATGGTATGTTGTCTATAATTTCAGATTGTTCCGATTGGCTACCAAAAAGTTTGTCAAATCGGTTGGTGGCCCCACCCTATTACCGGTGCCGAACGTCCAAGCTGGTCATGTGCTGTTACCACTTAGTATTGTTGTAAAACATTCATCTAATAAATGGTTTCGCCGAAAAAAGTGCGAGTATTCAATCAGGGAAACCAAGGTATCGTCAGAGTTAAACATGATTAAAATCACAGTGTACCAGATATTTTCACCCAGTGTTCAATTTTGCCCATGTGCCATTTTACACAAATTTGCCATATCTTAAACTCCCCCTCCCTCTTTATGGATGAAAAGGGCAAAACATGAACGAGGGCGAAAATTTGCCGGTATACAATACATATATAACAAGAACTCGACAAGAAAATAATTAATGATGTTGAGGTTATATCGGAAGAAATCACCGTCAGAGAATTTGTTTACCTACAACAGCAAATAATTCCATATTAGTCACGTGAGTTAACAGTCACTGGCGCATGTCTGGAGATCTGTTGATATAAGTTCTGTCATAAATCATTAAACAAACCATTCACCGAAGAAAGCGACATTTTTTGTGCACTGATTATTAGTAGTTGAAAAGTATTTTTAAAAATGAACATATAACCTTTGACTCATCACTATACCACTTTGTGATACAGCTCACTGAGGTACTGGAGGACAAATCAGATCTGGACGTGGAGATAACTGAAATCAAAGATCACGTTGCCAACTTGAGAAATTCAAACTGCACTTGCGTAAGCGGGAAGACAGGCTTCAGTCTTTTTGAAACCCTGTTTGCACGTGGTAAAATTGTGAAATATACCTGTCACTCATTTACCTCAGGTAGAACAGAGGCAAAGTATATAACAAAGAGAGACCTTTTGGAAGCATTAAAGAACAGGTAAACACTTTCTATTCTATGACATTTGTAAACCTGGTAAAATACTAGCCGCAATATATCACTCGGCAAGAGAGAATTTCACTTTAGCTCGATTGGTTGAGCGTCAGACGAGTAAGCCAGGGGTCCCGGGTTCGATTCCTAGCGTAGGCATTGAGATGAAAAAAGACCTTTGTTACACATTGTTAATTAATATTTTCTGTATCTTTCATAAATTACGACACCTGGAATATATAAATACTATTGGATGTTTCTCATTCTGTTATGACACACCTGTTTTGTCATACCCAGCTTATAGCTGTCATATTAAGATGTCTACTCAATCACACTTAAGAAGGATTTGGATATTTTTCAAAACCGTAGCTCTTCTTAATAACTCTAGAAGTTGATCAATAAAAACAATATATATTTAGATCAGATTTGAATTTGAATTTTGTGTTGTTTCAGAAAAATTGACGTGAAGGATCCTGAGATCTCGCAGATTATCAAAGCCAATAGGAATGCTGTGCTTTGTGTTGTTGTTAGTGTAATACGGACCACAGAACGAGTGGATATAACAGAGCAAATAAAGAAAGAGATCGAGGGATGCTTACAGGTGAAAATGGCTTGTTCAGAACATTGCTAACTGTTAAGTTGAAATTTGATTACGATAATTCAGCAAATATAAAGTATGGTATATCATTTTTCTTCAATGCCATGGTATGGAGTAGTTAATGCCTTCGTAATACATTCTCATGTGCTTTTAAAGTTTTCTTCTTTATATGACTTTGTTGTGAATATACGTCAGTCCGTATTTTAGAAATATTAAACGGAGTATGTGGTTCAAAGCATCTCACTTCACTTCTCTGTCAAAGCCCTCCTCCCTTGCTTTTCAACACCCCACTCTACGCTTTCATTCTCCTATCTGCCCTTTCCTCGGTCCCTCCCTGTTGTACCTTGTTTGCTCCCCTGTACTGTTCTCTGCCCTTTCCTCGGTCCCTCCCTTTGTACCTTGTTTGCTCCCCTGTACTGTTCTCTGCCCTTTCCTCGGTCCCTCCCTGTTGTACCTTGTTTGCTATCAAGCCTGTGATCGATGAAAATGAAAAACGCTTGAAGCATGTAGAAATGTTGGCTTCGATTTTATTCCAGAAAAAGCAATACTTCAAGTATGTCGCTAACACGCAGAAATCAAACGAAGTACAACATGTTGATCGATGTATGTATGTAGATCAGACTACGGATGTGAGCATGTATGTAGTGAAAAACTGAAAGAACAAAATGAACACTCATAAGTCACTTACCAAAATTTGGGCACACAACACGAGTAATTGGGAAAAATCTACTACGGCTCATATTTCGCAAAAACATAGAAAGAACACGAAATCGAGATGGGAGCAAATAGTGGGTCGATTGAGGATGAAAACATTATGGGGCGAAATGGGACAGTGGAAAAATTGGCAGATTGGTAATAAGTTCCAACTTGCGTAGCGTATCAAAGGCAGTGACTATTTTACAACAATTGGAAGAACATAATTCTTGAACTTGTATGGGGCAATAAACTCACTCTTTGAGGGACTAGAGACGGTAAAATTCCTAGAATTGTACTGTGTGAATCGCTCATCGATGTAAACACGTCCGACATCTTTAAACGTTCAGCATACGACACAGAAAATGGAAATCCCCGCTACCAAATATAGACAGGAGTTCTGAGAAGGGAGATAACCCTGCTACACTAACAGGACATTTGCTCTCCTGTACTGTTCTCCGTCCTTTCCTCGGTCCCTCCCTGTTGTACCTTGTTTGCTCCCTGTACTGTTTTCTGCCCTTTCCTCGGTCCCTCCCTGTTGTACCTTGTTTGCTCCCTGTACTGTTTTCTGCCCTTTCTTCGGTCCCTCCCTTTGTACCTTGTTTGCTCCCCTGTACTGTTCTCTGCCCTTTCCTCGGTCCCTCCCTGTTGTACCTTGTTTGCTCCCCTGTACTGTTTTCTGTTTTTTCCAGTCCCTCTTGGCATCTTCTTATCTTACCTGTTTGCTCCCTGGTACTGTTCTCTGTCATTTTCTTGCCCCACTGGGTCTCGCCTTGGTTTACCTGTGTGCACCCCTGTACATTTTTATGCCCACTTCTGCCTTTAGTCCCTCCCTGGTGAACCTACTTGCTCTCTTGTACTGTTCTCTGCCCTTTTTTTGCCTCTATTGCTCTCTCCCTGCTGTAACTGTTTGCTTTTCGGGAGTATTCGCTGATCTCTGACTAGCGTACAGGTTAAATCCCTTGAACTATTCTCTGCCCTTTCTTGCCTCACTTTGATCTTCCATGGTTGACCTATTTGCTCCTCTGTAATGTTACATGCACTTACCCCGCCTTCTTGAATGTAATATGGAATTATCTGTATCGCGTGTTTAGGTTGACGTACCCGACGCAATAGGGGGTATATCATTCGGAGGAGGAATGCAGGCAAGTCCACAACTCTCCATTGATCCCACTGTTTTAGCTTATGAGGTGTGCGAGCTGAAGGTTGATATGACGGATGGGACCATTGAGGTTCTTCTGGAGCCTGATTTATATGGTGGATTTTACAACTTTCCACATGAACTGGACAGTAAGTAGTAGTTAGCCCAGTTAAATTATCCTACACGTTAGACCACGTTATGAATTATGCAACGACTCGATTGCTAGGACGTACAACGTGGATATAGAAACGTCCTCCCGACAACATTGCGTCTATTGGGGAAAATATTACCATGTTTGATAACTGTCTTTTAGGGTTTCTCCTCCATGCAACAGCATACAGTCTACTGCTTTGGTAGAAAATTCCAAACATCAAATCACTGTCTTTTAGGGTTTCAGGTTTCCATGATAGCATTAATTTTGTTTTCTTGCTGGAAAATCTCGCTGGTCAGAGGACACCTCTTCGTGAATTACGGAATGTTTATTTACATTGTTATTTTAACGGACATTATGTCGGTTTAAGGACTCCATTCAGAAATAGCCATATTCACATTAAGGGCGGCTGGGTGGCGCAGTGGTAACACACCCGCCTTTCATTTAGACGCACGGGGTTCGATTCCCGAAGCGGATATGCCAGACCACAATGGTTTTTCTCCGGCTATTCCGGTTTCCTCCTACTGTAAGACCCCTTCCGCTGATAGCTTGTTTCGCAATTAATGGAAATTAAATAGTTTATATACATCTTCACACTCGAACGAACTTGAACTGAAAGACACATGTAAATACCCGGTCCATACCAATGTTTCCTTCATTCACCGAAAACAAGGAACACAAAACCCCTTCAACCCTGTGAACTGTAACCAGTATTAATATAGAAAGTGGCAAACCCTGCATGCATCAAGTGCTATCATAACAAACAGTGTTTCTTTCTCGAATTTCGCTGGCATCAGCTTTCAACCACATTATTATTTATTTTTTTTATCAAATAATGGAAGTATTTGATTTTTCATTATGTCAACAGAATGTGAAGCCATAGCGGAATATCCTACAGAGAATTTTATGCGTACCTTATACGAAAAGTTGACCAAAATGCCTGTTGAAGATCGGACCACTATCAAGGAGATGGTCATGATGTCAGCTGATGATGTAGATATCATATGCCAGATCGTAAGCTATGTTTTATATTTATTCTCGTCCTGATATCCCTACTTGTTTAGGGAAAGAAATCCTTTCTGTATCACACGGTGAAGCGACTTATGTAGTACTACCTGACCCAGAAAATTCTTTTTGACGTCAATGCATAAATCTTCGAAATCATATCGTATAATGCTCGTTACTCGTTGTTCGCTTGGTTTATCGTCTTGTGAACAGCCACATTCATTTTAAAGTGGATCTCCTTGTAGTAACTGGAGTCACTAAACCAGTCTTATGCTATACGCTTGGGTAGCAGGAAACAGTTAATTTGCATTTTTATTGAAATTATTGGTCATGTTTGAGATATACAGATACAGCAGTTTGGTTATGAAAAATACATCCTTACATGTGTATATATTTATAAACTACATAACAATTACATTTATAGCAGAGAGATAAAATTTGTGTAAATTAAAAAAAATCCTCTGATTCCTGACATTTGATTGCCATGGTTACCAACTCAAAAAATGATAAAAATGCAAAAATATTGCTGAATCCAACCTAACACTACAACTTTATAGAAGAAATTTATTTCTGAACACCTGTCTTAAAATCAACAACACTGTCATGGTAACAAACTACTTAAATTTCAGCAAATACCAGCTCGGAAATTCTTCATAACATGACCACGTGTAAACACTATGAAAATTTCTCTTTGGTGCGTAGACACAGATTCGAGACTGCCCAAATAGTAATTACAAACATAAAGCTAAAATATCATTCTGAAAAAATAAAACCCCACATTATCGACTTCAACGTGACAAGGCCAATGTTAGCAAGGATCAATCTTTAAAATTTGTAATTAAAACCTTTTCAATGAGGTAATCTAATGAACAAAAATATCACCCATGGACACATCGAGAAACTGTGTACTGTTACCTTAGGATTACATGTCTTGCCCAAGATTTCGAGGGGAAAAAATGGTAAATGTCTTGGGAAAAAAAACAAACGCCGCAGGTCTAATTTTTCGTATACCGACACCGAGTCGACTAAGCTATCTCACCCCTACTAACAGAGTACGGTTACAGGGAGATAACTCATATATTTTCACAAGTTACATTAGTCATGAAACATAAACTATAAAAGTACTATTAATTATATTGTCTATAATATAAAATAAGAAATAATTACTATTACAATTATAATTTACGAACAATGAATATAAATACCAACTACACAATTATACAGACCTTTCGTACGCAGAAAGATCTAATTACATTACAAGTTACCTGAAAAGATCTACATCATAATCGATATACATACACTGGGTTTTCCCATTTCTAAAAATAACGTTTGTAATCACCTGTGTGTGGCACAGAGCTGATTTACACTCCCATCACCGGCACTCCATGACAGGCATAAATCTAACTCTAAAATATATAGAAACCCTCTCTTACATATATAGCAAGACATATAAACACAGACTGTGGAATAAATTAACCATTACACGTTTCTACTTAAATTGGAACAAATATAATAAAAAAATGTTACTTGATACGGAATTCAAAGTTTTCTAATTCTTAATAGTGATTCTAAATATAAAGAATACGTATAATGCTACAAGGTAATAGCTAGTCTATATTTTATAGGAATTAATAAAAATATATATACTAAAAAGATAACTCACTTTAAACTGTTTCGTCAGGGTCCTCTGTCAAATGCAGGATCAGATCAGTACGTCTTTTTAGTTTAGCAGATTAAAGAAAACTACACCCTAACAATGATTTTTCCCGCCAAACTGACCACAAATCATTGTATTGATTTTAACCAATAGTAAAAGAGTCTAAAACTTGACCATATATCACATGCACATCATGTGACATTAACAAAAGAGTTACAGGTAAAAAAAATAGACCTACACAGGTAAGTAATCCACGGATCACTCCTTGTGACCTGTAACACACATACTTTCACAACTCTTTTTCACATACACACACAAAAAAAGCAATCCACTTGCAGACAAATCAACAAGTATACATACCAATTACATAAAACAATTTATCAATGACCCTATTACACAATATCTAATTAGTTAGTGACGTATTTGATAATTCTCTCTATGTCTAAGGAACATTCAAATATATACTATTTCTCGTATGTTTCATTTTTGCAGCTGTTCCTGGCTGACACTTTAGATAAAAATGAATCAAGGAAAGAGAAAATCGAAACTGATTCATTTGATACCACGAGCATTTCAACTGGATATCATTCTGAGCCAACAACACCTTCGGATGATGATGTCACAACGCCTATTGATTCTGTACGTTGTGACCCGAATTATTTTCTGTTTCCATATATGCTTCTAACTATAGCTGACTTTTTTTTCAAATTCGAAATGAGGACATTTGATCATTACATAATTACGGTAACCATGATAACGATAACCAAAGGTTGAAAGAAACGTTATTTTCTGAATTTGATACAACAACACAACAACAACAACAACAACAACAACAACAACAACAACAACAAAACAATTTATCAATGACCCTATTACACAATATCTAATTAGTTAGTGACGTATTTGATAATTCTCTCTATGTCTAAGGAACATTCAAATATATACTATTTCTCGTATGTTTCATTTTTGCAGCTGTTCCTGGCTGACACTTTAGATAAAAATGAATCAAGGAAAGAGAAAATCGAAACTGATTCATTTGATACCACGAGCATTTCAACTGGATATCATTCTGAGCCAACAACACCTTCGGATGATGATGTCACAACGCCTATTGATTCTGTACGTTGTGACCCGAATTATTTTCTGTTTCCATATATGCTTCTAACTATAGCTGACTTTTTTTTCAAATTCGAAATGAGGACATTTGATCATTACATAATTACGGTAACCATGATAACGATAACCAAAGGTTGAAAGAAACGTTATTTTCTGAATTTGATACAACAACACAACAACAACAACAACAACAACAACAACAACAACAACAACAACAACAACAACAACCCTAAAAATGTTCATGCGATTGAATTCAAAAGTGTGCATTTTTCTCCTGTTTATTTCAAATTACTTAATTTCTGTCAACCTGCATTCCGTTGATCTCTATTTAATCTTGTGCAATAGGGTGCTGAAAATCACTTCCGGCCGATTGTGTCCCGGACGATGACTTTTCGGAGAATGCTTGAAGTAATAGGGTGGCGCAGAATGGTAAGGACTATTGTACATCATGTATTATAAAACAAAACTGAAAAAAAAGCTTTATTTCATAAACTAAGTTCTATTGTCATTCAGAAATCTTGACATTTATACTGTATCATCATTCCAGACAAGAGAATTGCATCTTTTTATACAAATTGCCACCCTTTTTGTATCTTTTTTTTTTTTTTTAGAAATTTCTATACGAAATAAGAATTTTCTACATTACATTTTTCTTCACAAATCAGCACCTTGCTATGTAGATTTAAAACTACAAAGGAGAATAATGAATTAACCAGCTTCCTCCTTTAGGACTTGTCACTGCCGTCAGGACCTAAAGCACATGGTTTTGATATATTAACCTGTATGTGTCATCTTTTTTCAGGGTGATACCATGGTTCAGCCAACTGATAAGGAACAGATATGTTTTTTCCATTGCTTTTTTGTTTTGCTGAAAAGACTACATCAAGAAATGCCTGATATAGTGAAAAGTATTAACACTTTAACGTCTAGGACAAGAAATCAGCTGTTGGAAACAGTAAGATTTATACCAGATTTACTTTCTGCTTCATGGTGTTGTTGCATGACCAGACTAAACACCAAAATGCAAAAATAATGAACTAGATAGTAGGTTTAAAGGATAGGATACTACAATAGATACAACTAAATATCACATTTTGATAAAAAATTTAGAAAACGTTACATTGTTAGCCAAATAATGGACGAAACTGCATCTACAGTTGTTTCAACTTTCTATGACCCGTCAGTGATAATCGGGACTTGTGTTGAAACAGGAGATGGATGAAACTGCATCCTATAGCTGTTTCAACTTTCTATGACCCCCATAGCAATACTGGTCGAAATTAATGTAAACATCTATACGAGTTTTTGCAAACGTCATAATTCAATGCATTTCATGTTGTTATATCGCTTGGTCTATTGAATTTATCGGATTTTTTTTCAAACGAAACAAAACAAAACAAAAACACAGAAAAAAATAAATAAAAAAAAAAATAAAAAAAAAAAATCAGACGGACAGTACATTTTGAATGGTAAAGACAATAGTGTAATTTTGGTGTCGTATTTATGTTATTTATGTCAAACAACATTAATAGTGGTTAGCACCTCCTCCACCTTGTGTTACGGTTACTTCACACAAGAGATAAAGTCAATTTTTTTTCAATCCAGAAGTTAAAAAAAATCTTTATTAGGATATCATAAGTTTAGAAAATAAACTTTTACAAGTTTTGTATTTCGCCATGCTAACAGGGACTCTCCTGTTTACCAACAACGGCGAGGCGCACCATGCGTCAGTCCAATCCATTGCAACTACATGTATAGTAATACAAGTTCTTTTACAAATTTTAACCATTTATTTCATATTGTTATTCACAGTGCCGTTTGAAGTGGGTTCCTAATGAAGAGGACGAAACCGATATGAAAAAAGTTCAGGTGTGTATTGAAACGGAAGAGCTCAGTCAGTTTGAACAGCTTTGCGGATACCTGCAGGAGTGTGATCAAATGACATGCGCTATATTCTCAATGCTCCTTGCTCATTCTTGATATCCTGATTGGGTGGAATGGAATGTCTTGCAGGATTCACTGGAACTTTATTTCAGACTAACGTCATTGTTTGAAGAACTTTTCACCGATGGATGCTGGCTATCAATTTCACAGTTAAACAGTGCGCTTGTGGGCTCGGCCGTTACTATTTTGGTTAAACACTGTACTTTGTATAGCATCTTTAAGGAACTGCTGCTCGGCTGTCAGACAGTGAAATTTACATTTCATCGTCTGTAAATAACTTGTTCGGTCGTTAAACAATAGACTTTATAAAGTTACATCGTCTGTAAATAACTTGTTCGGTCGTTACACAATAGACTTTATAAAATTACATCGTCTGTAAATAACTTGTTCGGTCGTTAAACAATAGACTTTATAAAGTTACATCGTCTGTAAATAACTTGTTCGGTCGTTAAACAATAGACTTTATTAATTTACATCGTCTTTAAAGGAAGGTCGGCGCGTAATGCTTCTCTCGTCACGCCAGCGGTTCCTGACAGTTTCAGCAGTAATGGGTCTGCCATTATTACCCGAGGTAGACGACGCAGTCTCTACAATATCTTGAATCTGTTGCGCAAGTGCGGCAATCGGATCGCCCTGTCTTGTCGCTACACGCGGTCTACCGTTCCTTGGACGATCGGGAACTACCCCAGTAGCATAGAAACGTGTATAGAGACGGTTAATTGTACATTGGACAAAGCCACACTGCCGTGCGACAGCAGTTTGGCTATGACCATCCATCAACATCGCAATTGCTCTACCCTGTGGATTTGCGTTAAGCGTGGCATCTCGGTCCATGGCGGAATCAAACTGTCAACATGGAAAATTAATCACGCCGCATGATTTGGACTACAGAAGCTTATAAAGTCAGACAACGACATCGTCACGCTGATTTTAGGGTAGATTGTCGAGAAGGGAGATCACTCTTGATGTAAAACATGTATCTAATAATGACTTTAATTTGTATGTTGTTATCGTATTTATAGAAATGAAATAAAGAATGATCAAAACCAACAATGAGTGCAGTTGATCATTAAAAGAGTATCCTACAGCGGTATACTTCATACTCTTGCTATTTTAAAACAGCAACATTAAAACCTGGAGGCCTAAACCATTTCAGTTTGGTTCAGTTAGAAACATTCCAGAAACAGATTTATCGTATGTTATCGGCTGATAATATCCTATATTCTTATCCTTATGAGTTAAGGTCGATACTGATAGATTGACAACAGTAAAAGTCATTACTGATAGATCGACAGCAGTATAAGTCATTACTGATAGATCGACAGCAGTAAAAGTCGATACTGATAGATCGACAGCAGTAAAAGTCCTTACTGATAGATTGACAGCAGTAAAAGTCCTCACTGATAGATTGACAGCAGTAAAAGTCGATACTGATAGATCGACAGCAGTAAAAGTCGACACTGATAGATCGACAGCAGTAAAAGTCGATACTGATAGATTGACAGCAGTAAAAGTCGATACTGATAGATCGAATGCAGTAAAAGTCATTACTGATAGATTGACAGCAGTAAAAGTCGATACTGATAGATTGACAGCAGTAAAAGTCGATACTGATAGATTGACAGCAGTAAAAGTCATTACTGATAGATTGACAGCAGTAAAAGTCGATACTGATAGATCGACAGCAGTAAAAGTCATTACTGATAGATTGACAGCAGTAAAAGTCGATACTGATAGATTGACAGCAGTAAAAGTCGATACTGATAGATCGACAGCAGTAAAAGTCGATACTGATAGATCGACAGCAGTAAAAGTCATTACTGATAGATCGCAGCAGTAAAAGTCGATACTGATAGATCGACAGCAGTAAAAGTCATTACTGATAGATCGACAGCAGTAAAAGTCATTACTGATAGATCGACAGCAGTAAAAGTCATTACTGATAGATCGACAGCAGTAAAAGTCATTACTGATAGATTGACAGCAGCAGTAAAAGTCATTACTGATAGATTGACAGCAGTAAAAGTCATTACTGATAGATCGACAGCAGTAAAAGTCATTACTGATAGATCGACAGCAGTAAAAGTCATTACTGATAGATTGACAGCAGTAAAAGTCATTACTGATAGATTGACAGCAGTAAAAGTCGATACTGATAGATTGAGAGCAGTAAAAGTCGATACTGATAGATTGACAGCAGTAAAAGTCATTACTGATAGATTGACAGCAGTAAAAGTCATTACTGATAGATTGACAGCAGTAAAAGTCGATACTGATAGATCGACAGCAGTAAAAGTCATTACTGATAGATTGACAGCAGTAAAAGTCGATACTGATAGATTGACAGCAGTAAAAGTCATTACTGATAGATTGACAGCAGTAAAAGTCATTACTGATAGATTGACAGCAGTAAAAGTCATTACTGATAGATCGACAGCAGTAAAAGTCATTACTAATAGATTGACAGCAGTAAAAGTGATACTGATAGATTGACAGCAGTAAAAGTCCTTACTGATAGATTGACAGCAGTAAAAGTCGACACTGATAGATTGACAGCAGTAAAAGTCAATACTGATAGATCGACAGCAGTAAAAGTCGACACTGATAGATTGACAGCAGTAAAAGTCATTACTGATAGATTGACAGCAGTAAAAGTCGATACTGATAAATTGAGAGCAGTAAAAGTCGATACTGATAGATTGACAGCAGTAAAAGTCATTACTGATAGATCGACAGCAGTAAAAGTCGACACTGATAGATTGACAGCAGTAAAAGTCAATACTGATAGATTGACAGCAGTAAAAGTCCTTACTGATAGATTGACAGCAGTAAAAGTCGACACTGATAGATTGACAGCAGTAAAAGTCAATACTGATAGATCGACAGCAGTAAAAGTCGCACTGATAGATTGACAGCAGTAAAAGTCATTACTGATACTGATAGATTGACAGCAGTAAAAGTCATTACTGATAGATTGACAGCAGTAAAAGTCGATACTGATAAATTGAGAGCAGTAAAAGTCGATAAAACTGATAGATTGACAGCAGTAAAAGTCATTACTGATAGATCGACAGCAGTAAAAGTCGACACTGATAGATTGACAGCAGTAAAAGTCAATACTGATAGATTGACAGCAGTAAAAGTCCTTACTGATAGATTGACAGCAGTAAAAGTCCTTACTGATAGATTGACAGCAGTAAAAGTCATTACTGATAGATCGACAGCAGTAAAAGTCGATACTGATAGATCGCAGCAGTAAAAGTCGATACTGATAGATTGACAGCAGTAAAAGTCCTTACTGATAGATTGACAGCAGTAAAAGTCGACACTGATAGATCGACAGCAGTAAAAGTCGACACTGATAGATCGACAGCAGTAAAAGTTCAACGCCTCACCCAGCTCGACAATGATCTTCCATCACGAAAGGCTTATCATCAAATCGTTTAATTGAAATACAAACTGGACGATACGCTGCCCCATTACCTCAGCACCAAGAGAGACGGACTACAGGTATTTCGTAACAATTACTCTGAATGACAGTTGTTGTAGGCCTCCGGAACATGTATTACGACTACGCCCACCAAAGTACTGACGACGTCGTCGAACTCAGAAAGGATCTGTACGGTGACTTCGGGATCAGAAGACGAAGATGAAGAGTGACGATGACTGCCTTAAACCCTAACAACGGCTCTTTTTAGAGCTAAACTCTTTGTTACACAAAGTGTCCATTTTACTCGAAAAACGCAAAAAATGTGTTTTGTTGGGGTTTTTTTTTTTTTGCATATATATATATATATATATATATAATTACCTACATGTATCAATGCTTTGAAGTATACGGGTTCGATGTTCAGCACCGATTGATTGTCATAAATTAATCAATAATGTTTGAAACAATGATTGTGTAGTGTCCAAGCTGATCGTCGAATCCTTTTGTTTCAAATTACATAGTCATATATGTTGCATCGGCTGATCTCCAACTATCGTATATTGTCAACTCGAAATGATAATTTCTCATGCCCCTGTGTCGTCGTGTTTCGATATTCAGCATATCTTGATATATTCCCCACTTCCGCTTTAACACATCCATCAGCTTGTCAATACACATATCAGCAGCAGTTTAAATTCATAATTATATGAAAACGATTCACCTTGGCCAGGAAGGCAACGGTTACCTCCCTTGACTCATTATTTGAACGTATATATTATGTACATGTATACCCTGTATAACAGAAACTTTGAAAACCCTCCCTATAAAGCAGCATGCTAGATCGTCCATTTCGGTCCAGTTATACATCAATTAAATGTTGTACATGTGTACAAGGTATGTGTGTATTGTACATATTCTGTAAGGCGTCCAATTTTTCCTTACACCAGTAATATCGGTTATAATACATGTGTACAAATAACAGTAAAAAACAACTAAATTCTCGTCGTCACAAGTAATTAACAAATACTGATTGTAATGGGGACCATTTCAAATGTCCCCCAAACGACCCCTTCCGCAGTAAATGATCACAATAATCAGACCTGCAGTCATACCAAACATGAACACATCAATTTTGAATGGAAATGAGAACGTAAATTTTTAAAACATCAGAAGAGAGGAAATGGTGATGCTTTTAGTTTGGTATAAAGAGAAATGTCCTTACCTCAGTATGACAAAGAGTTTATTTTGTGTCTGCTACTTTCAATATTAAGTACTTCTCAATGGTCCATTTAAACATAAAGGGGGAAAGGCGTCAAATGGACTACGCCTTTTTGCTCCGATTGTCACCTAATACATATATACCAATTTTCACGAAAATCGGACAATATCTAAAATTTGGCCAAATTTTGACCACAGCTGACCGCTCAGATGACCGATCGATGGCCGAATGAAAACTGGACTACGCCATTTTGCTCCTAGTGCCACCTTATACATATATACCAATTTTCACGAAAATCGGAAAATATCTAAAATTTGGCCAAATTTTGACCACAGCTGACCGCTCAGATGACCAATTGGGAAAAATTTAAGTGGGCTGGACTCCGCCTCGCATGTATGAATATGTGTGTAAAGTTTTGTTAAATTCCATGCAATAGTGTTTGAGACACGCGTCGGAAGAAAGTGGAAGAAATAAGAGTAATATAAATAATAATAATAAGAAGAAGAAGAAACGGAGCAAACACATATGTGTAAAGAGAGTGTACGACTGATGGACAGGTCACTTCATTTTCCGGTCTATCCCCATGACAACGCACAGGTTATATTAGACTGTGTATTCGGCCATTTCTGTTAAATATTCAGTGACGTCATACCGATGTGAAGAAATCGGCGCCAAAGTAAACTGTACTAATGAACTAGCGTTTAATTAGATATACTGTACACGTTTATATTAATTTTAATTGATTCCGTACTACTCGTATACGGTGTTCTCTGGCACGTGACTCGCTCTTGCCTACATTTAGTGTTCCACATATTGATAGCTTGCAATACAGAGTTGGGGCCTCAGTTTGAGTCAGCTGGCACGCACTCTATGTGACATGAAAGAAAACTGCGACTCATGGAGAACGGAATTTGTGCATGATATTGTGTTACAAGGAATATAATACCTAAAATGATTTGTTATATATACAGTTATGAAATACTTATGGGATGAATTCTTTCTTTTAATTGATTTTATTCCTATTAAATCAACATAAAACAAGACGATATTATTCTCGATGTGCGACACCTACACGTGACGATTGAGGAAAATTGATCTCTCTGTAACTCAACCAATTTTACAATTATCAACATGGATATATTATAATCATATTGACAATACATTTTTGATGTCACCAACTTCTTTTTGGCAATACTCCATTAATCAATTTCACAGCTATAAACATGAAACTTCGTAAAAAGTGAATTGTGACCATATTAATTATTCCAAAATATATTTTCTGGAGCCATCACGTGTTGCGAACTTTTAGATAGATTGATCTCTACGAATCGATATCAACGATCCCATAATTCTGTGCATTCCGCCATATTGTCCCGCCTCGGAGTGTCCTCTGCAAACCCGGCAATACTGATTCTTGGCCGACATAAATTTCTATCTGAATATTTTCATGAACACCTAGTCTGTCAGTTTGTTCAGCTTTTAGTATAATACTTGATTGTGTCATAGCGACAGTATGCATGCACGACATTGTTTTGAATGATGTTGAAGGTTTTCCGTCTCCGTGACTCTGCCCGTTGCCGGGCCGAGTCCAATCCATTTGAAGAGGTGATGACGACGAAGGTTTATCGTTTCCGCGACTCTACCGTGGCAGAGTCCAATCGACTTTCGTTGATTCTCTGGCGACGTCAATCGAAAGATGGCGGTCTTGTTTATAGCATTCGCCTGACGCTAGATGTCACTGATAATCACTTTCAACCAATCAGAATGCTAGGATTGGTAGCTAGTTCCGAAGGGTGTGACAACAGGCCGAAACTGTGACTGGGTTACATTTAGCCTAAAAAATTTATTTCCACTTCATTATGTTGTGTGCAAACCTCCAGTAATGGAGCTAAAATTCCTTAACTAATCACTGATTTCTCTTAAATATGACTGCTGATACTTGACATTTCCTAAATTTTCAAATTCATGTGAATTGAGACATCAAGAAAAAAAAAAAAAAGAAGAAACACTGCAACTCTTTGTAAAATTTTATTTTAAGTATTGTGAATAAAAACTTGTCAAGAGTAATTTATGAAACCATGATTGGCCGTACAACTGAAATTTACAAAATATTTGAAGATGTTTGCTTGACTGCTTATTGGAAATGCTATGTAAGGAGACGACTGTACATGAATGTAAGACAAACGGTTTTTAATTTGTTCAACCATGCATGACTTATATCAATGAATACTTTATACATTAGAGGTTTTGAATGAATCTATGATTATTTGATGTCAAAATTTTGAATAAAAATCAACAATATTATTCCTAAAGCTGAAACATCAGGTACATTAGAGGACTTGTGGCCTTGACGGTCACCTGAGATAAGCAATATTGAATATAAAGGTTAAAGGATATATAGCTTTCAAGTGTCATGAAACAGAAATTGTGACATTGGTGATAGTAATCCAGTGTCAATACATCCATACCATCAATACTCTTCATCCTATACTAATAATTCTTACAAAGTTATTTCCAGTGGGAATAAACAACGTAATGCTGAAAATGCAATTTTTCTATAAAAATTATAATAAAGTAAATCTCTAACCCTATGAGAAATAGGAGGCCCATTTTGGTAAAGCACCTTAAGATGCATCCATATATGAAGTACATTTGATTCTACCATACCCCGGTGTTGAGAAGAAGAGTTTTGAAATTGAAGTCAATCTGATCCCTTTAGGCCCAGCCCATCACCCCATGGGGTACGCCAGGATCGATATGGGCAGATCATCAAGCTGTCATCCTTCACTCATAATTCTAACCAAGTTTTAAACATTTTCAATGGAAATTTAACAAATTATACTCAAAAATATACTTTTCCAATATTAAGTTAACTATGTGAATACATAGTGAGACCCTGGGACCATGAAATTCACCTTAAGGCCCTTTCAACTATGAAAGCATTTGATACTACCATATCTGGGTCAATTTGACACTTTCGGCAAAATTTCATTGAAATCGTTTTCGGGGTTTTTGGTAAGAAGTTAAAAATGTTTAAAAGTTTACAGACACATGACGCCAGACAAAAGTGATTGCAATAGATCACCATGAGACTTTGTCTCTGGTGACCTAAAAATTCTATTAGAATTAACATCATTATATCTTTATCAGCTTAAAACTTGTGGAGGGAGGAATACAACACAAATTGTTTGATAGTTAAAAGAGGCAGACACTTCTAATAAACAATATGATTACTTGGAAAACAACAACGCTATAAAATCGTGTAATTCTGTATTTGAAGCTTTGCCAGTTTACCCTCTTTAACTAATGGTATGTTCTTGTCATTCTTAAATGCAACATGTCTCACAACATTTTGATTACAGCCATATTTACAAGTCTATATAGTGTCTTTATAAACAATGCTACACTTTTGTGTAAATATTACCACAATATACCTACCCCAATGAAAATAATCATAAACAATGCATTCCCTTTGAAACTTATTGCATGTTCAATTCTTTGAGGAAAGAAAAAATAGAATTATATATAATTGCCTCACATCTTTGTGTGAGCTTTTCTTTTTTGGGGAAAAACGAAAACAAAAATTAAATTTCATGTGTAGAATAGAGATCCTAGAGAGATCTTGGCACCCACCATTGTTTGGTATTTTTTTCTATGTTTGAATCTTTTCCCTTCTTTTCTATTTCTTCCTTTGTTCTTGCTTCTACTTAAATCAAAAGTGAAAATTCCTCTTAAAAAAAGACAACCTGTCAGCCCATTTCTTTTTCTGATCAATCTCAAAATCAATAATCAAGGGGAGCCTACATATTAAGTTTGAAATATATCCTTTACGTACATCTCAAGGAATAATGATAACAGGATTGGTTTCAAGGGATCATGGACGTAGGGCAATTCTAATAGCCCAACATTTAATGATGGTAGTCTAAGGAAAAAAGTATTCAAACAATACCAGTTTTGAAGAATTAACACAACATCTACCATACATGCTGCATTACAACATTTAATATTGATACTGTTTTCTATTTAATGGCAATTCTTTGTTCAGGCATTATGCACAAATTAATTTTAAGATTCTTTCTTCATTCCTTTTTTTTTTTTTTTTTTTTTGTAAATGAAATATGTTTATGTCTTCAATACAAATAAAAACAAACAAGAACTGCCCGGTACTTACTCAGTCTATAAAACTACTTTGATCAACTTATGGTTTCCTAACATAAACATTTACAACATTTAAGTCTTAGAACTTAAAATATGTACCATTGTATGTATTATTTTACAAAACATATTTGGTCCAACAAATGCTTCTTTTCCACTGACGTTTACAAGGCTCAAATCATGTTTTATCTGGGAATTGGTGATGTGTGCCATCTGTCAGTCTATCTTTAGGTGTCTGATGCCTGTTTTTAGCTAGCTACATCTAAGGATAACTAGGAGAACTGGATTGGTGTAGCAGAGAAACACAACTTGAAAACATACGGATTCTTCCCAGCTGTAATCAAAACAAACAGTCTTTATTACTATGGAGTATATACATAACACAGTCTTCATTATTACATAGTGTATACATAAGATTGGATATTATTTCAAGTTACTACCAGTCAGGTATATATACATGGGTTATTAGGAGTTACTGGCCAGGTACACATACATTGGTTATTATGAGTTACTTGTCAGGTATATATACATGGGTTATTATGAGTTACTTGTCAGGTATATATACATGGGTTGTTTTCAGTTACACATATATGAGTTATTATGAGTTACTTGTCAGGTATATATACATGGGTTATTATGAGTTACTTGTCAGGTATATATACATGGGTTGTTTTCAGTTACACATATATGAGTTATTATGAGTTACTTGTCAGGTACACATACATGGGTTATTATGAGTTACTTGTCAGGTATATATACATGGGTTATTAGGAGTTACTGGCCAGGTACACATACATGGGTTATTATGAGTTACTTGTCAGGTATATATACATGGGTTATTATGAGTTACTTGTCAGGTATATATACATGGTTTATTATAAGTTACTGGCCAGGTACACATATATGAGTTATTATGAGTTACTTGTCAGGTATACATATAAGGGTTATTATGAGTTACTTGTCAGGTGTACATATAAGGGTTATCATGAGTTACTTGTCAGGTACACATACATAGGTTGTTTTCAGTTACACATATATGAGTTATTATGAGTTACTTGTCAGGTACACATATATGAGTTATTATGAGTTACTTGTCAGGTGTACATATAAGGGTTATTATGAGTTACTTGTCAGGTACACATACATAGGTTGTTTTGAGTTACACATATATGAGTTATTTTGAGTTACTTGTCAGGTACACATAAATGGGTTATTATGAGTTACTTGTCAGGTACACATACATAGGTTGTTTTGAGTTACACATATCAGGGTTATTATGAGTTACTTGTCAGGTACACATATGAGTTATTTTGAGTTACTTGTCAGGTATACATACATGGGTTTGGTACGTTGGTGTGATTAGTCAATACCAGAGCCTCTGTTGCTTCTGCTTTGGATTCAAATTCCACCAAGCCTGTTGAGCTTCTATCCGCTACAAAAGACATTTGATAACAGGGTATTTATAACTTACAAATAGTAAACAAGAGGCCAAAGGACCTTAAACAGGGTCATTGTTAATTTACAAATAGTAGACAAGAGGCCAAAGGACCTTTAACATGGTCATTTATAACTTACAAACAGTAAACAAGAAGCCAAAGGACCATTAACAGGGTCATTTATAACTTACAAATAGTAAACAAGAGGCCAAAGGACCTTTAACAGGGTCATTTATAACTTACAAATAGTAAACAAGAGGCCAAAGGACCTTTAACAGGGTCATTTATAACTTACAAATAGTAAACAAGAGGCCAAAGGACCTTTAACAGGGTCATTTATAACTTACAAATAGTAAACAAGAGGCCAAAGGACCTTTTTATGTAATCACACTTTGTGTGGTACTACCACAGTATGTAATTACACTTTGTGTGGTAATGTACCAACACAGCATGTAATCACACTTTGTGTGGTACCAACACAGTATGTAATCACACTTTGTGTGGTAATGTACCAACACAGCATGTAATCACACTTTGTGTGGTACCAACACAGTATGTAATCACACTTTGTGTGGTAATGTATCAACACAGTATGTAATCACACTTTGTTTGGTACCAACACAGCATGTAATCACACTTTGTTTGGTACCAACACAGCATGTAATCACACTTTGTGTGGTACCAACACAGTATGTAATCACACTTTGTGTGGTACCAACACAGTTTGTAATCACACTTTGTGTGGTACCAACACAGTATGTAATCACACTTTGTTTGGTACCAACACAGCATGTAATCACACTTTGTTTGGTACCAACACAGTATGTAATCACACTTTGTTTGGTACCAACACAGTATGTAATCACACTTTGTGTGGTACCAACACAGTATGTAATCACACTTTGTTTGGTACCAACACAGTATGTAATCACACTTTGTGTGGTAATGTACCAACACAGCATGTAATCACACTTTGTGTGGTACCAACACAGTATGTAATCACACTTTGTTTGGTACCAACACAGTATGTAATCACACTTTGTTTGGTACCAACACAGTATGTAATCACACTTTGTGTGGTACCAACACAGTATGTAATCACACTTTGTTTGGTACCAACACAGTATGTAATCACACTTTGTTTGGTACCAACACAGTATGTAATCACACTTTGTGTGGTACCAACACAGCATGTAATCACACTTTGTGTGGTACCAACACAGTATGTAATCACACTTTGTGTGGTAATGTACCAACACAGCATGTAATCACACTTTGTGTGGTACCAACACAGCATGTAATCACACTTTGTGTGGTACCAACACAGCATGTAATCACACTTTGTGTGGTACCAACACAGTATGTAATCACACTTTGTTTGGTACCAACACAGCATGTAATCACACTTTGTGTGGTACCAACACAGTATGTAATCACACTTTGTGTGGTAATGTACCAACACAGCATGTAATCACACTTTGTTTGGTACCAACACATGTAATCACACTTTGTGTGGTACCAACACAGCATGTAATCACACTTTGTAATCACACTTTCTGTGGTACCAACACAGCATGTAATCACACTTTGTGTGGTACCAACACAGCATGTAATCACACTTTGTGTGGTACCAACACAGTATGTAATCACACTTTGTTTGGTACCAACACAGCATGTAATCACACTTTGTGTGGTACCAACACAGTATGTAATCACACTTTGTGTGGTAATGTACCAACACAGCATGTAATCACACTTTGTTTGGTACCAACACAGTATGTAATCACACTTTGTGTGGTACCAACACAGCATGTAATCACACTTTGTGTGGTACCAACACAGTATGTAATCACACTTTGTGTGGTAATGTACCAACACAGCATGTAATCACACTTTGTGTGGTACCAACACAGCATGTAATCACACTTTGTGTGGTACCAACACAGCATGTAATCACACTTTGTGTGGTACCAACACAGCATGTAATCACACTTTGTGTGGTACCAACACAGTATGTAATCACACTATGTGTGGTAATGTATAAAAAAAATGTTACACGGGTACTCACACTTTGTTGGAAACTGTTTGATTTTGGGGGGTTTTGGGGCACCAGCATTTTCAAATATCTGCAAAAAAATATTCCACATATACTTGAGATTTTAAAGATTTAACAAATGTCCAGAAGGCATGTAATGCTCATCTGGTTTATTTTGATGAAATTGCTTTAATCTAAACTAAATGCAAAGCATATACAAGGGTGTGGCTTATATTCTTGTGTGACTAATATGTGGATTAAATTGGAAAAAAAAAGTGGATAAAATTTGGCTCAGCAATGCCTCTTACAACCCGGAAAATATGATAATTTTCTCTACTCTCCCTTAATGTAGTGATGACAAAGTTATTTTGAGTACAGTTCTCACTTGAGACATCTTTGACACAGTTTGTCAACATTCTTCAAATATCAAAATACCAAAAAATTTTGGGGGAGCATAAAATCTTTATGGAGTAAAATTATTTTGGTTCAGTGATACCTATATACAATATATGACTTGATATTTCAGAAATATGAAGGAAGTCTGGCCATTGACTATAAAGTTTGTTAATATAAATGACCTTGACCCACTTTCAAGGTCACAGGTGTCTATTACTTCAAAATATATAAATAACTTTTTCTCATTAACCAAGAGCCACAAGGTTTGAAAATTTGTCAGTAGCATACTGTGCATAATTGCTATTGCATGTTATAATAAAACCTTGGCTGAATTCAACTTCCAGTCCTTGGTAGGGGGTCAAAGTTGAAAATTGCTAATTTGCATAACAAACTTTGAAAAACTTCTGAAGTTCTGCAATGTCTAGGGCCTTAAGATTTCATCTCTAGGCAGCTCTTGTCATTGACTATCCAGTTTGTCTAATATAAATGACATAAAAACTGATGCTGAATATAGATATCTCAATTTGAATACAAAAGAAAAGACCTCACCTGTTCAATATCTTCATTTGAGATGTTTGGAGGTGCATTGAAATAATGCAGGACTTTCGAAGCTGTCTGAATGCGTGAAAGGGTTAAGGCTGATAATTCTACAAATAATGGCTGTAAAATACACAGATAATAACTCACCTAATGGCATTTGGACAGAGTTCAACTTTACAATTATAATCTGCGAGCAAGGAAGGGACCTATTGGAGATATAGAGCCAATTTTTCCATCTTCTGTAGAAAAGGTAGGATTCTGTCCCAGTTTAGTATTAAACAATCAAAATGAAGGGGACTCCATTTTGTATAAACAGAGGGTTTTAACGCCTTTTGGTAAGAGAGCCGAGGCCCAATAGGGAAATAGAATTAAATCTTGGGTCCCTTTCACATGGAAATTTCGCTCAGATCCCTTGAGACAAAATCATGATATTCCTACAAATGAATGATCTTAAAGAACTTGCTCTATTTCAATCATTAAGCAAAGCCTTCTAGCCCCGTGTGGCAGAGACCAACCATTTATACAAAATTGAGTCCCAAACTGCTTCAGAATATTGATAAAATCTAACCATTCCTATAGGAAAACGATTCAAAGAATTTGCTATACTTCCCAGTTTTGGCCCTGCCCCTAATAAGACCCAAGGGGAAAATCCACCTTTTAAACAAAATTCAGACCCCTTTTTAAAAACAGTTGATATAGAATTGATAGATACACAGTATTCTATAAGCTCAACCCTTCAAGTCATTACTCTATTTCCTCTATTGGGCCTGCCCTTTCCAACCCTGTTCATGCAAAATTGAGTCCTCTTCAGTATGCTTCAGACCAAATTTGGGCAATATCCATTCATTGCTACAAGGGGATAGGATTTTAAAGAACTTTCAAAATTTCCCCTTTTGGACCCCAACCCTCATGCCCACTGGGCAAGAACTAATGATTACCCACCTTTAGTTTCTGACCAACTTAGGTTAAAATCTGCATAGTCATTCATGATTAGTAGTGATTTTTAGTAAAAAGTTGATTGACTGGACTATTTACCAGTAACACTACTCCTGACTATTACTGAATGAACAACTAGTCATTGCAGCAATGCAGCAAGTAGTCAAGTAAATAATATTTTGCTTCTATGAACCAGTTATGGACAAGGATATGATTTTTACTGGCAGACTCTGGATTGGTAAATCGGTTGTTACGATTGCCCATGTAGTCCTTAAATGAACAGCTTCCATCAGCAAGGTCATGGGGATTAGGAACATCTTGTAGAAATGCTTGCTTGGATGGTCTGCAATTAAAAAGCATTGCTTTAACACAAAGATTTCAGAGTTAATGCTGCTGATATTTCAACCCAATTACCACAGGGATCCTCACTCACACCATTGTTTGATCTTTTATTGGTTGTTTAAAAATTGGATCCTTTCCCTACATTTCTCTTCTGTTTTTACCCTTAATGATAAGAAATTTGAACATTCTTTTGCAGAAATAGAAATAGTAATATTCAACTGTGAAATCAAAAATGGTTGCCTAAAAGCCATTTTGTTTTTCTGATCACTCCCAAAATCAAACAGCACAAACTGTGAAGAAGGGAAAACCTACATTGGAAATTTGGGAGAGATCTATCCAGTACTTCATAAGGGATAGCGATAAGAACTTTAATAACGGAAATCCAAGATGGCCACCTGTTTTCCCCCCCAATCAGTCCCAAAATCAAATTTGCATTACAAGTGAACAATGGTAACCAACATAGGAAATTTTAAAGATTCATTAAGTACTTCTCAAGAAATAGCGATAACAAACTTTCATAATCAATGATGGCCATTTTGTTTTTCTGATCAGTCTGAAATTTATCAAACAAACACACTAAGGGACCAAGGGGAACCTACATATGAAATTTGAGAGAGCTTAATCCAGTACTTCTCAGGAATTAGCAATAACAAAAACTGTTTACAGACAGACAGACAGACAGACCATCGATGTGACAAGAGGCTGAGTCACTTGGGCTCTGCCCCTCTCACTCCTGGGGGCACCGTTTCTACAAAATTTGATATATTTCACGCAAGGATGCTTCAGATCGAATTTGGGCAAAATCCAATCATTTCTATAGAAGAAATTTAAGATGAAATTACTGTTTTCTTTACCATGTTTTTTTTCATTTTCAATTGGGTGTCAAAGCAATTGGCAACAGAATGAGACGGCACACTTACCCAAGCTGCATCTTGCTGCCAAAGAAGAAAGTGTTGTTGAGATTCTGTAGAGCTCTGTCTACAGCCATGCTATCCCCAAGCTGTACCATGGCTGCTCCTTCCTTACTCTTCAAAAACTTGATCTGTAATGAGATACAATGAGTTTCAGTCTCACTGACCTCAACATTTTATGTATCACCTTGAATTTCCCTTAAAATGTACATGATGTTCCATTCCCATGCCACAACTCATCACCTTACTATGTTATCAAATCTATGAGCTAAAACAGAATTACATACTTATATTGATATATATAAATTTTTCTACATATTTTCATAACAAGTGATTCACAACTTTGGTACAAGTCTGGACAAGAACCCTTCATAGGTCTTATCTGGTAATCATAACAACCAAACATCAGTTGTTTTAGAAAATAGTACCATTATAATTGAAATTCTTTAAAAATCCTTATAAATCCATTTTTAGCATAACCAGACAATATCTGTTACAAGTTTCATTAACATTGATCTCAGAACTGATGAACTGATGACCTGATCCAAATACAAAAATTACTAAATGAACAAGGGATAAATGTGAACAATTCAGCAATCTGCGAGAAAAATAATCAATTATTTAAATGGTCAACTCCTTAGTAAAAAGCACTACTAGAGTACAAGCTTAGTAACTGTACAAAATGTTGAATTATCTTGAATGGTTTCAGAGTTTCAGTCATTTTGTCTTTTTCCATTGTAACAGTTTTAAAAGGACAATTTCTCTACAGCAAAAGGGACTTAAGAGTACAAACTTGATAACAGTACAAAGTTTTTGAGAAGTAACCTTGAATGGTCCCATTCCCAATGCAAAATAGTATCTTTTTTTCCCAATTTAGACCCCAAGTTTTCCCAATTCTAAGGAAAACACCATTATTTTTCCCAATTCTAAGGGCCCCGGGCCCCAGTCCCAAAAAGGGGTGTGAGAGCCCTGCAAGGTGATGGAAAAAGTATTTAAATGGATATAAGAGACTACAAGAGTACTAACTTGATAACTATATTAAGTTTTTGAGCAGTCATTTTGAACTGTCTCTTGCAATAATATTTGTAGACATTGATAAAAAAATGAGCTTCTGTTATCTATTTTTTTTTTTTTAATTTCATGGGATGAATATATAAAACACTTGTATCTATTTCCAAGTAATAGTCTTGCCCTTCTTTTTATGGAAGTTTGATGCTCGTTTGTAAAAAAACTAATTTCTCTTCAACAAAGATGTCTTCAGTTCCAACAGAAGAAGAATTTTAAAAATGTCTTCTCTATTTCCACTACTGTTGAAACTTAAATTCTTTTATAGTTTATTCATCTAAGCAACAAACCCTGTAATACCAACACCAATCATTCCTACAGGAGGAGTAAGAATTTACACGATTTCCTCTAACAAAATTTGGTTAAAATCTGCTTAGTTGTTCATGACAGGTAGCTTTTTGTAGAAAAATAAGCCAATAGCTAAGTTGGCCCTTCAGGCCAGAAGAGCGAAAAACTTACCCTCACAACATTGCCATAGAGACAAAAAAGGTTGAAGAGCCTGTCGCAGTTAACTTTTTCCATGTTGAGACCATACACCATGAGGACTGCCCCCTGACTGGCACTGCCCTGGCCTGGTCCACCTGTGTTCATCATTCCTTGGTCCTGATAGCCTCCCTGGCCATGAGGAGGGCCTCGTCCATATCCTCGTGGCTCCTGTGGTGGCTGTATCAATAAATTACAAGTCTTATAGTGAATCATGGTTGTCTGGGGATAGGTTGCCTTAGCTACAAGAATAAAATCATTCTGTAGATCCACCTGCATATTGTGCACTTTGGTTAACATCAATGTTAACCTGTATCAGACACATACATATATTATACCTCTCTCATGTTTTATACCAAATGTGATTTAACTCTGCCAGCTGTAGTGCAAATGCCCATCAACCAATAAGGCATATTCCCACAATTCAGGATGTAGATAATGTCATCTTATTTTGCAGTCAACAGTGGTACATATCATGTAGCCTTTTACGAGAAACATTTTTTTATTGTTCTGCTGTTCTTTGTTTGAGTTTCACCGTTGTGCTGTCCTCATTTGACAACTTCCATCAAATTCATAACCAGCAGAACAGCAAATACAAGCATTGTGATCAGAAATTATCAATGTTAACGTAAATATACGTAGGATATATGGATATAAGTTTGAGTCAGAGTTTGTACTCAAGTTGTTGGTGGTAACAGACCCTGGGAAATTACCAAAATTGAAAACTAAGGAATTCGCATTGAAAATTTTACCTGAAAGCCTGACTGGTACCAAAATAAAGAAAACATTCAAGCACTGTGTGAAATAAACTGATAAAAAATGAATGAAATAATTTGCAGACAGAAAAAATATCTAGACATATTTTGTAACCCAATCTTATCTAATTTTGTAATTCTTTTTAATCTGTGATTGCACATGTCAATGGCTTACTTTCATTTTGAGCCCAATGGGAAAGCAACTGTTTCTGTTGAAATTCTGATATTCCGAGGCAGTTAAATAAAACTCATTGTAGAAATCAGAATTATCGTTCTGATGTCAAATCGTAGGTCTGTGCTGATTATAACACCCAAATCTGTAGCTGTAAAGGACGTGAATGTGAGGAAGCCACCTGACCAGGACACTTGATTTTTGAGCTCACTTTTGTAAATAGAAACGGTGTTCATTTTGAAATTGCCTGTAGGATTATTTTGTTTTAGAATAACCAATTGTATATTCTGGACTTCAATTAGAGATACATGGATATTTATTTCACCACATATTAGTCATACAAGTAAAAATTTCTAAAATACAGAGAAAGGGAAGGATTCAATGGAAGGAGGCACCAATCAGAATAAACAAAGTATACCATTCTACCCACTGGTTTAGGTGCAAATCTATCCTGTTGCATCTCATGACCATAGTGTTGTCGAGAGGGACCACTATGACCTCCATAACCTCCGTATGAATCTCCATGGTCATACATCCCATATCCACTGCCTGATCCCATGCCCTGGTGACCATGGCTGTGCCCGTGTCCATGCTCTGGAAAAAAGCAGACATAATTTACAGTTTATAATTGTTGATATTTAATATACTGTAAAACATGTATATTTTGCCATATGCACATACAGTCACTTTCATACATTATCATACAAATATCAGTACTTGTTGCCCCGAAGTAAATATAAATAAATCTAACACAATGAGAAAGGTAGGGTGTAAGGATATACCCAAGTAATATATGAATTCCTCTGTTGATGATTTGGAAGATGACCTACATTTGTTATGAATTTTTTGATGATTTATGTGTATGATTTTTCCCATTATTCCTCCTCTCCACAAGATGGATGAGATCATTCTTTATCTTGCTTCTAGCTCTACATTCTAGACGATGGTTGAAATAATTCTTTATCTAGCTTCTAGCTCTACATTCTAGACGATGGTTTATTCTAGACGATGGTCGAGATAGCTTCTAGCTCTACATTCTAGACGATGGTCTAGCTCTACATTCTAGACGATGGTTGAAATAATTCTTTATCTAGCTTCTAGCTCTACATTCTAGACGATGGTTGAAATAATTCTTTATCTTGCTTCTAGCTCTACATTCTAGACGATGGTCGAGATCACTCTTTATCTAGCTTCTAGCTCTACATTCTAGACGATGGTCGAGATCACTCTTTATCTAGCTTCTAGCTCTACATTCTAGACGCCGGTTGAGATCATTCTTTATCTAGCTTCTAGCTCTACATTCTAGACGATGGTCGAGATCATTCTTTATCTTGCTTCTAGCTCTACATTCTAGACGATGGTTGAAATAATTCTTTATCTAGCTTCTAGCTCTACATTCTAGACGATGGTTGAAATAATTCTTTATCTAGCTTCTAGCTCTACATTCCAGAGCTGCAATATTCAGTAAATTTTGGAAATAGCTTTATTTATCCTGCGCTGATGTGAAGTTTGTCACATTATGTTCTTTTCTGTTTACATTCTGAATAACTACACCAAACAGAAAAAAATTTGATTAACTTAATTTATCAATCAGGATAAGGACACAGTGGTGGTTTGATATTTGGAAAAATCCTGGGCCCCTTATTTATTTTCGCCTTTTGTTTTGGTCAGATATAAATTTTTGCTAACTCTGAGTTCAACCTGAACATCAATCACGAAGTGGAATAATCTTTATAAGGAAACACACAAGGCAGACATAATCACTTAACACAAACAAAAGCATTTGTAAATATCTCAACATCATATATAAAAGTAAACAGAATTCTGGTGACACCAACATTTCATCACATTAGGAATGGTTCCAGGGAAAAGCAATTTGAATGCTGCACCTGTGCAACTTTGACAGCGAATGAGAATCATTTTGGTAATGTAACCAAGGGAAACTGTTAACAAGATATCAACAAGTGCTGCAAGTTTTATTAAACTAAATGTTTATCTACTTATTACAATGACATTTTGTAAGTACGAATTAATCCAAGGTTTATCTATTCAATACCAAATCACAGGCATGCTGTATGTAAATTAACCTTCTTAAACCGTTACTGCCAACCCAGACTCGGGATAGATTTGGTGACATTCAAGAATAAGTGCAGAGTGAAAGCTCTGAATCTAGGCTGACTTGGTTAGTCAGGAATATGATCAGTCTACAGTGTGTTCATTATAAAGTGTTTTACTATGGGACTAGTACTTATCCTTTAAGTTGTCATACATACCATAGCCTCCACCAGGTCCCATGCCTTGAGGATCTGCAGAAAAACAAAATAAAGAAATGAAAAAAAATCAAGATTATCAGTGAACATAATGAATGCCCACCAAAAACAACTTTATTGGACAAAAAATTTTGAAAAGAGCATTAATTCTATAATTAAGGAGTTTTGTGGCCTGAATTTGGTTGACTGCAGATTCTCTTATCAAGGCCAATGTATACACCAAGTTTCATGATCCTTGCTTCACTGTGCAAGGCCCTGCTCTGGCCAAACGAAAGGCCAGAAAGAAAGAATGACGGACAAAGCAGCAACTATCTGCTCCCTTGAAAATTTTACCATGACTCTGCACCTTTTGGTTAGTTTGAAGGAGTTTTAAAGTTTTAACAAATTGGACTCCTGTGACCTTGAATATGGGTCAAGGTAATTTCTTTTCATAAACTTTGTCGGGCTTTGTCTAAGCATTACCAGCCAAATACCATGACATTTGGTCTGCTGCTTATTGAGAAGAAGTTGTTTAAATGGAAAAGTTGATGCTGGATGGACAAACAGATTATGCATGGATGATGGATGCTCCACTTATGCATAAGCTCACTTGGCCTATTGGGCTAAGTGAGCTGACAAATTATGCTCAAAAGTGAAATTTTCATATCCAAACTTATGCACCCACAAAGAGAGAACTGTGAGACAATTTTCTCCTTTCAGGCAGACCAAATTTGGGCAAATCAAATCATTCCAACAGGAGAACTAGGATTTTAAATAATTCATGCCTCGACAATTTTCCTCTATAGGGCCCTGCCCCTCCCATCCTAGGAGGTCCTGTGCAAAAACGAGGTCAAGGATGCTTCACACCAAAACTGGAACTGCACAGCAATGATAAACCTTATCTGTTAACAGTGACCTCAGTTTTAGTCCAGACTGAGTGCAGTGCAATTGTGGTACTAGAAAGTTAGTGTCAGTACCTGATCCTGCGTTAAAAGGAGTTGGGCCACTGCTGTAACGTGGGTTCTGTAGCAGTGGGGCATTTCTCTGTTGGGGCTGGTTCATGTCTTTTCCTGCAAGACAGAAATATTTTCTTTAGTTAGTAATGAAAAGCTAGCAAACTGTAGAAATTCAGTCTTGTATATCTCCAGAGTACTCATGGGAAACAAAATAATGTTATTCTTGCACATTCTCTGTACTTTGTAAGGGAAAACAGATATTAGTTTTGCATTCAACGGTTATTTCTCCCAAGAGTAAATAAAACATTATATCTTATACAAACATTTGACACACATGTAGAAAGTGCACATTGATTCTTCAGAGCTTACATGAAGTATAAAAAACAAAAAAGCTTGAGTAGGATAATAATATCACTTAATGTCATTACTCAGAATTATAACATTAATGACTATAATATGTCAGGACAGAGTACATAGGAACTGTCGTTGATGTACAGTCAAACAAGATGGGCAACATTCAACATTATACTGTCTCTGAGGATCAGAGGCTCATTATGTGTACAAAATACAAAATAGAAAAATATAATGATAACTATAGTATACTGATTTAATATTAACTAGAACCTTAGAACATCACCATTATGAAGAATTCCCACAACTAGTTCTTGCTTCCTCAAAACCAGATTTTTTCACATGGCCTCAAGATGGTCATGTTGACATTTTGAGTAGGTGTGAAGTCACTCATGCAAACATATGCTGCTTAGTCCATCCGATTGTGAAACACCATTGCTCCATTCCTCTGGGCGATTCTGTTAAGGGACAACCAATCAAAAAAGATCACAATTTGAATGGAATGTGTTTTCAAGTCTTTGTGTCCTTGTGTCCCTGTATGTCTGCCGAGTGTTGTCCACTGGTTCTGAGAATGCCTTGTTCTTGTATTTTGCATGTCCGTAAATTCTGAGAATGTTGTTTTGGTTTTGATCGTAAGGATGCACTTGTTTCGATCTGCATGTACAATACTGTGCATTTCTGCTACTACTACCATAGCAACAGTGTAGCCATGCTCCTGGGTCAGATCTGGTGTGGTTTCACAATGCTGTAGCTGACAGGAAAAATGTGCCTGCTGTATACTGACAATGTATATCAAGCTGTACAGATTTCTAATAAATGGTGTGAAGTGAACACATATAATGCTGGGATGATAAGCTCTTTCCTTGTAAATACTTTAAAATAGTAGTTGTTCATGTAGCATATAACAGTGAATGACAATATGAATAACTACTACATGTAGTGTTAAAATCTTATGTATTTACATGTCCAGCAGTATACTGTTGTCTAAACGTAGTCACTGATCTTAAGAAAGGTGCAGCTTAGCAATGAATAACATAGGATTTTAATATTCATAATAATTATTATTTCTTGTAAAGGAAGTATAATACTGTTCTTTACATGTACAATGTATAAGACTTATTGATGTGATTTTAAGAACTGCAGCTGTGGAAATGATTATTTACTTTGCATAATTAAGAACATTAATAGATATACAGGATGTGGATACATGTTATACCACAATACAACATCAGTGCTTGGCCTGTTTGGTGACGTCACAGCTTATACCACAATACAACATCAGTGCTAGGCCTGTTTGGTGACGTCACAGCTTATACCACAATACAATAACAGTGCTTGGCCTGTTATGTAACGTCACAGCTTATACCACAATACAACAACAGTACTTTGCCTGTGTGGTGACGTCACAGCTTATACCACAATACAACAACAGTACTTTGCCTGTATTGTAACATCACAGCTTATACCACAATACAACAACAGTGCTTGGCCTGTATCGTAACATCACAGCTTATACCACAATACAACAACAGTGCTTGGCCTGTATTGTAACATCACAGCTTATACCACAATACAACAACAGTACTTTGCCTGTGTGGTGACGTCACAGCTTATACCACAATACAACAACAGTACTTGGCCTGCATTTTAACATCACAGCTTATACCACGATACAACAACAGTGCTTGGCCTGTATTGTGACGTCACAGCTTATACCACAATACAACAACAGTACTTTGCCTGCATTTTAACATCACAGCTTATACCACGATACAACAAAAGTGCTTGGCCTGTATTGTGACGTCACAGCTTATACCACGATACAACAACAGTGCTTGGCCTGTATTGTGACGTCACAGCTTATACCACAATACAACAACAGTGCTTGGCCTGTATTGTGACGTCACAGCTTATACCACAATACAACAACAGTACTTGGCCTGTATTGTAACGTCACAGCTTATACCACAATATAACAACAGTACGTGACGTCACAGCTTATACTACAATACAACAACAGTACTTGGCCTGTATTGTAACGTCACAGCTTATACCACAATACAACAACAGTACTTGGCCTGTACTGTAACGTCACAGCTTATACCACAATACCACAACAGTGCTAAGCCTGTATTGTAATGTCACAGCTTATACTACAATACAACAACAGTACTTGGCCTGTATTGTTAACATCACAGCTTATACCACAATACAACAACAGTGCCTGGCCTGTATTGTAACGTCACAGCTCATACCAAAATACAACAACAGTGCTAGGCCTGTGTAGTGACGTCACAGCTTATACCACAATACCACAACAGTACTTGGCCTGTACTGTAACGTCACAGCTTATACTACAATGCAACAACAGTGCTTGGCCTGTATTGTAACATCACAGCTTATACCACAATACAACAACAGTGCTTGGCCTGTTTGGTGACGTCACAGCTTATACCACAATACAACAACAGTGCTTGGCCTGTACTGTAACGTCACAGCTTATACCACAATACAACAACAGTGCTAGGCCTGTGTGGTGACGTCACAGCTTATACCACAATACAACAACAGTACTTGGTCTGTATTGTAACGTCACAGCTTATACCACAATACAACAACAGTAATTGTCATGTGTTGTAACGTCACAGCTTATACCACAATACAACAACAGTACGTGACGTCACAGCTTATACTACAATACAACAACAGTACTTGGCCTGTGTTGTGACGTCACAGCTTATACCACAATACAACAACAGTACTAGGCCTGCATTTTAACATCACAGCTTATACCACAATACAACAACAGTACTTGGCCTGTGTTGTGACGTCACAGCTTATACCACAATACAAAAACAGTGCGTGGCCTGTATTGTAATGTCACAGCTTATACCACAATACCACAGCAGTACGTGACGTCACAGCTTATACTACAATACAACAACAGTACTTGGCCTGTATTGTAACATCACAGCTTATACCACAATACAACAACAGTACTTGGCCTGTATTGTAACGTCACAGCTTATACCACAATACAACAACAGTGCTTTGCCTGTGTGGTGACATCACAGCTTATACTACAATACAACAACAGTACTTGGCCTGTATTGTAACATCACAGCTTATACCACAATACAACAACAGTGCTTGGCCTGTATTGTAACATCACAGCTTATACTACAATACAACAACAGTACTTGGCCTGTATTGTAGCATCACAGCTTATACCACAATACCACAACAGTACTTGGCCTGTACTGTAACGTCACAGCTTATACTACAATGCAACAACAGTGCTTGGCCTGTATTGTAAAATCACAGCTTATACCACAATACAACAACAGTGCTTGGCCTGTTTGGTGACGTCACAGCTTATACCACAATACAACAACAGTGCTTGGCCTGTACTGTAACGTCACAGCTTATACCACAATACAACAACAGTGCTTGGCCTGTATTGTAACATCACAGCTTATACTACAATACAACAACAGTACTTGGCCTGTATTGTAACATCACAGCTTATACCACAATACAACAACAGTACTTGGCCTGTATTGTAACATCACAGCTTATACCACAATACAACAACAGTTCTTGGCCTGTATTGTAACGTCACAGCTTATACCACAATACAACAACAGTACTTGGCCTGTGTTGTGACGTCACAGCTTATACCACAATACAACAACAGTGCTTGGCCTGTATTGTAACGTCACAGCTTATACCACAATACAACAACAATAATTGGCTTGTTTTGTTTTTATGCAACTCCAACAGTTCATAGAAATTTCTTAGAAGGTCACTTGCAAATATATCAACTACAAGAGGCCTATGGGCTGTAACCACCACCTGACTATAAGACCTATAAGAGGCTCATGCAAAGGAACTGCATTGCTCACCTATTCTACAGCTTACAAGAAGACTTTGTCTGTTCATAAAGTCAATACCTGTAAACTTGAAGTTCTGTTCCTCATACACGCTACTACAAAATTCCATGACCAAGGACCAATTGCTTGTTGAAAGAAGAAATTTAAAATTCTCAATACATTTGACCCCAATAACCTTGAAAGAGGGTCAAGGTCAATAATATTAAAGCCCTTCATCCAATCATATTACAGAGCCAGTATCATTAGCCTGGGCATTTTGGTTATTAGCACAAAGTAATATTTGAAAATTTCAAAAATGCTTGACCTCGGTGACCTTGAAAGTGGGTCAATGTCATTCATTTGAATACACTTAATAGCCCTTTGTCCCAGCATGTTACAGGCCCAATATCAGCACCCTGGGCATTTTGGTTATTGAGAAGGTGATCAAAGATTTTAACATATTTTATCCCTGTGACATTCAAAGTTGGTCATGGTCTATCTTTTGAAAAAACTTGTAGCCCTTCATCCCAACATGGCACAGACCCAATATCAGCACCCCAAGACTTCTGGTTATTGAAAAGTCAAAAACAAAGTATTGTTACAGACAAAAAGCAATTGCAATAGGTCAATCCAACCCTTTGGGTCAGATGACTTCAAAATTACTTAGTGAACACATGAAATTGGGTTTCATATGAAAAATATAGCAAATGATTAATGGCTCTGAAAAACAAAATTTATTGGAATTAATTTATTGGACTTCCCATCGCAATCTGATTTAAATTCAAAATTTAAAATCAAACCATATCAAATCATATTTTTTCAATCTTAAGCGTATTTTACTTTCAATTGTTAACATTAAAATGAATTATTTGGTGTTATTATCAATAAGAA